TGGGGACATAGTTCAGTGGTAAGTCCTTGTCCATCTTCAGAACTACCAAAAAAAGGAAATGACCTAAGTAATTCACAGAAAAATATGAATATTCAGCTTCGTTCATAATTAAGGAAATACACATCAAGACACTGATGTACCACATTTTCCACTCCTAGACTACCACAGATTAAAAGTCCCCAGGGTTTGGGAGGGCACTGAGAGACAGGCTTTCTCACACACAGCTTGATTCAGTGTTTTGAAGAGACAATCTTGAATCATCAGTATTTAAGATATACACACTTTGAACCACAAATGGCACATTTATATAGTACTTACAGAAGTATATAAATATATGTGTGAAAAGCCAGCAATATATCATTATGAAAATTAAATAAATTATATCAATGTGTTGGGGTTCTATTAAGTAGTTAAAAAAATACTGTTAACATCTACTATCAATAGAGATGAGAGGAAACAAATACCTGAGGAACCACAGTATTATACCTCATAATACGAATTTTCCTCATACTCCTCAAATCTACCATAGCTTTCTTCTTCTTCAAGGGAACCTGCTTGTCTTTGCCTTTATTTAAAGTATAATGTTCAGTACTCAAACTATTATGAACCACAGAAACCCTTCCTGATTCCTTTTTCACCTATCACTGACCTGCATGTGTCACCTGTCTCCAAGGATTATTTTAAGTACCCTCATTTCTTCTCCAACAGTGCCACTACTTGGTATAAAAAGCTTCCAAACTTTCACCCTTAAGAATATGATCTTATAGAAACAGCCTGCCATGCCCAAGTGGAGAATTATCCAATGCCTAGCACAGTGTTCAAGAATATTGTGTTTACTTAATATTTGTTAGCAAGTTCAAATATTTAAAAATTCCCCCATATAGAAATACTAAGGAAAAAAATATTTACAGCACTAATGCTAATTGTTAGTCACCATCATTTACGCTCTATTATATTGGATCACTTATTCACATATTGTCTACAGAGTGTCAAGTTGGTCATATAGAATCCAACAATCAATGTGTTCAATATAATTTCAACCTATAGTATTAAACAGTAGTTCCTATTTTCTTTTAATTTTAAGAGATTGATTAATTAGCATAAAATTGGGAGCCAATGAAAGGATATTATGTTTTGACATAAGGAAAATATACAATAAATAAAATCCCCCATGAAACATAAACAATATGATTTCATTAAAAATCAAAAGTCTATGTTAAAAATAAGGAGATAATTTCAGAATAAAGATGAGTTTCTTCAAAGAAAAGATAGATTGCAGTCTAACACATACACACACACAGAGCACCATCCTTATTTTTCCTATTTTGCTACATGCCAGTTAAACTATGTTCTACACTGGCACTGGGTTCACAGATCATATCTTCAGTAGAGAGGAGATTCAAAATGAAAATTCACATTTCTAACTCTTAAGCCTAGAGAAAACTTCTTTATCACTTGAACCTGTTCATTATGCAAACATCAGGTGAAATATAAACTCTGTCATTGTACGACATTTCACCAATAGAGTAGCTGTGAATACCAGTTTGATATAAATTTAGAACACTAAACTAGAAAATCATCCCATCTGCTATGTCATTAATCAGTTATCTGAGGAAACTCTTGGTCCCTGTGAATTTGATATTACAATCATAAAAATGGGAAGGCAAAAAAACTAAGTTATCTGACATAAAATCTCTTCTAGAAAAAAAATGACTATAATATTTAAATATGAATTCCACAAGTGATTTCCCTTCTCAATTTAATATTTTACATATTCATCTGAGGTGACATTAGCTACACTACAAGAAGCTTCTTACCTCTTGTGTCATTTTCTATTTCTGTCCTCCAGCGATGTAAACAGCTTTCCAGCACAGAAAGTTCTTCTTCTGTTATATGCCTTGGTGCTGGATGCATGGGCAAATCTGGAGGTATCCGAGACTGAGTGAACGGTTTGTGTATTACTGACCTCGATGAAACTGCAGAAACTGATGGAGGGGATGTGCTGGGCAGTTCTGAAGAAGGAACTCCCTGTAGTTCTGTTGTGCTGTATTTTGAAAGCATAAAATATTTCTCATTTAGTCTTCAAATTAAAGCACTAGACAACATACAGCACTGAGTTACCCTATAATTTCAAAAAGAACAGATCATAGAAAAGAAATACATGGATTGATGTATTCTGATGAGATTTGTAATGCATGAGGACTCCGTTATTATAAAGATAAAATTAACATTACAGTAAAAATGGCTTACTCACATTTAAGAAGAAAAAGAAAACTAATGCATGCTGAAATTAAAAAGATCTTCTCTTTCTAAAATTTATCAGCTTATGTTACACTAATAAATTTTAATTTAAAGGCATTATTTTGAATGGCTGACAAACAGTTGAAACTTACATAACTCATACCAAATTAATGTACAATATAATTCTGAACATTAAAAAAAAAACTATGAAAAGTTTAATTTGGAAGCATAAACTCTACTAAAATACTGAAATAAGAATGCTCCCAGAAGACATAAAATCTTCTAAGTAAGTTAGAGCACACATTTTCTAAAATCTTCCTTCCATCAGTTGCATGTAATACAGGCAAACAGCTGCCAGATTCACAAAGGAAACTTCACCTTGATGATGTCTGTGATGGTGTGGAACCACTAGGTGGGGAACTAGCATCGATGTCATCGACAGGAGAAGTGCAGACAGGTTTACTTGAGGCAAATTCCAATGCATATTGCAGAACATCCACCAAGGGGAATCGTTTGGGACCCGAACCATAACTTAAATATCTGTTACATAAAATATATGAAGGCTTTTATTTTTATAGAGAGCACATATGGATTTTTAAAAAGAATTCTTACAAAATATGATATAATACTTCAAAAACTCTCAACAAGGAAATTAATTTGCTTTCAAATGAAGAAGGCAAAACTGATTATGCATTCAAGAAGAAAACATAATTAGATGTTCCTCAAAGGAAGAAACAAAAGCTGATTAAGATAGAAGGAAACAAAATCTGACTGAGACTGAAGTATGTATATACTGTTATAACTTACAAACACCAGTCTAAATTGTATCTGAACAGGAAGATAGAAACTGAGAATTCCATCTCCAAACACCATTTGAATCTCTCAAAATGGTTACTGATACTTTGTAAGAATACAAATTATAATAAGATGTGTTATTTTTGTACAAAAAATTTAGGCTTCAATTTGCAAAGTAAAACTAAAGTAAGGGAATAAAGATCAGGTCAGAAGTTGCAAAGGGGAATCTCTCAGGCCACATTTTAGTCTATATATTTTTGATTCACCCATTTGCAGAAAGTTCAACAGTCTAGATGCTGGCTTCTTTTGGAAATAATGTGAAGCACTA